TGTTTTTGTTTTTTAAACGGAACAATTGATTATTTCGCTTTTGTTCTTATTGATGAGGGAGGGACTGTCTATATTTGGCTAGTAATAGTAAATATTGTATAAAAACTGGTTTAAATTTTATGTTTTTTTAAAGAAATGTATCTGAAGTCACAAATTTGCATTGTGTTATGCCTGTCTCTTATACACATCTAGATGTGTATAAGAGACAGGCACTGACGTGATGTGGACTCTCATTACATCAGCACCCTGTTCTTTAGATTATGGATACGCCGCTTTGCTGAAAACAATAGTTAAGACAAAATATATATTTCCATTCGTTTTGTTGTTCATGTAAATGTCTGATAGGATATTATTTTAAAACAATGCTAAAAACACAGTGTCAATACGATCATTTACACATGTAAGACTGAGCTAGCTGAGCGACTCCGAATTAAGGTGGAATTTATAGTGGTTAAGTGACGTTTGTCATGCACTGTATCTGTCTCTTATACACATCTAGATGTGTATAAGAGACAGATATGTATGTGTGTATGTGTATATATATATATATGTATATATATATATATGTATATATATATATATATATTAGTTTGAAAGGCAAATGGGAAAAAACCCATAAAACAGCCATATAATGCAAAACAATTTAAAATTAATCTATATATATATATATATATATATATATATATATATATGTGTGTATATATATATATAGTTGTTTATTTATGCATATACGTATGGTACATATACATGCAAATGGCTAGAAAGTGTCTTACTGACGTACCTCTCAAAACTTATAGTTGCGATTGTCAAGGTTGAACATACATGTGATTGGAATTCCAGGAATAACATAGCTAAATACGGATTCATATGAATTTCAAGGAAGAGACACGGTGACAAAATATCGAACAAACTAACATATATCGAAAATGGGAAATGCGTTAGACAAACGAATAGATCGGCTACTGCAAGGTTTACCAACATAACGACTGGTGCTCCTCGCAAGTGTCTACATCGACGAATTAAAAAAATAACAACTGCATTTCCAGTACATCCTATTATAAATAAAAAAATCTGGATACAAATTAACAGATACGCCAGAGATCTAGTGGGAAATGCGACCTTAAATACGGAGGCATAATAGACAACATATGATGGTCCATCCGGTGTGCTATAGAGACAATCTGAGCTGCTCATTATTGTAACTGTATTCTGTCGCTGTAGTCATTTCAAATTATAGGTTTGTTTCTTGCGCATCTCCACAAAAATACGCCTACCAATTTCTGGTACACACCTAATAAATTTAACAAAAGGAAAATTGATTCAATTTTGCCAATAATAATAGTAGTAATAATAATAATAATAATAATAATAACAATAATAATAATAACAATAATAATAATAATAATAATATATATGATAACAATAATAATAATTATATTGATAATAATAACAATAACAACAACAATATCAGCAATAATAATAATAATAATAACAATATAATATTAATGTTAATAATAATAATTATAATAATATAAATAATAATAATAATAATAATAATAATAATTATGATGATTTAAAAATAATAATGATAACGCCAACAACAAGAGCAGCAACAGCAAAAACAACAACACAACAGAAGTAATGATTCCCAAGGATATGCGTATACACTTGACGAGAATTTAAGGATTAAGTTCATTAGATAAACATAATATAGAAAGATATCTTGGTCTCCAAATTAATAAATATCCAAGTTGGAAACTCGATATTGTCTGTGATAAATAAAAAGCGAGAAAAAAAGACTGTTGAATGCTCAATACATATGATGTGCCTATACATATGATCATGATGACCATATTTAGGCATGTCACATGTTTTTGTCTGGACAAAGCTTCAGAAAAATAAATTCCAGGCAGGAGGGTAGGATCCCCGGCGCCCAAGCTTACCAAGGCCCATAGAAATTGCAGGTAACATTTTTTTTTCATTATTTTGATTAAAAATAATAATTACTATCATGGGCCCTCAATAATGACATGTTTCCCATAATAATGGGGCCCTTGCAGATTGACAGGACCCCATGAGCAATATTTCTCGCGCTTTGCGCTCTTAAGTGGGGTAGCATCACGAACCCTTTCCCCTCTTACAGTTTCTATCCCCTCTTGGCGGCCCTCAGCCTGGGGCCCTACGGGCCCTACTATTCTGAGGGCTGTGTGGTGGAAGCCTACCACACCGGCGTTTTAAATGTGTATTTTGTTGTTGTTTTCACGTTCTGCTCAATGTAAAGTACTACTTACGTTGTGTGTTTTCCCTGCTGCAGCAAAGGTTGACGAATCGTCACAAAAAGAAAACTATCGCGTGCTTGTATTTAAGTAGTCTTCAATCCTATTTTTTTTTTTTTTTTTTTTGGTTAATAAACTCGCCGGGAATGAGTGACGTCGTTTTCTTGAACTTCCGCAGCAATATTACTTTTCCACATTTACCGTACTAATACAAAATTAGCTCTTATTTAAAATTGTAATCTGTTATGTATATTTATAGGCCCCTGTGGTTCATTGGTGCTTTATTGTCGTATTATTTTGAAGGCCTGAATTGTATAAGTTCATTTTGTTTCAATTCAGCAGCTTAAAATATTAACGGTATCACGTTTTTCACGATTTCTTTAAGTGGTGAGATGTGTATAAGAGACAGGTGCTATAGAGACAATCTGAGCTGCTCATTATTGTAACTGTATTCTGTCGCTGTAGTCATTTCAAATTATAGGTTTGTTTCTTGCGCATCTCCACAAAAATACGCCTACCAATTTCTGGTACACACCTAATAAATTTAACAAAAGGAAAATTGATTCAATTTTGCCAATAATAATAGTAGTAATAATAATAATAATAATAATAATAATAATAATAATAACAATAATAATAATAACAATAATAATAATAATAATATATATGATAACAATAATAATAATTATATTGATAATAATAACAATAACAACAACAATATCAGCAATAATAATAATAATAATAACAATATAATATTAATGTTAATAATAATAATTATAATAATATAAATAATAATAATAATAATAATAATAATTATGATGATTTAAAAATAATAATGATAACGCCAACAACAAGAGCAGCAACAGCAAAAACAACAACACAACAGAAGTAATGATTCCCAAGGATATGCGTATACACTTGACGAGAATTTAAGGATTAAGTTCATTAGATAAACATAATATAGAAAGATATCTTGGTCTCCAAATTAATAAATATCCAAGTTGGAAACTCGATATTGTCTGTGATAAATAAAAAGCGAGAAAAAAAGACTGTTGAATGCTCAATACATATGATGTGCCTATACATATGATCATGATGACCATATTTAGGCCTGTCTCTTATACACATCTAGATGTGTATAAGAGACAGAAGTAAGATAGAAAAATATGGAGACGATGGTAAATGAAAATACAGACATCGAAGGTAGAGGAGCACAAACATATTTATTTATAAGGTTCACGGCTATTTCGGAAATTAGAGAGCTGATTGGTAACTTACA